TGAATGGCAGAAGTATGGATCTGAGACTCCGTAGTAATATCCCGCGCTGCACCACGGTAAAGCCAATTGACCTTTTTCAACGAGCCATTAGGTTGCAACGCCATCCACGACAGAGGCAGATACTCTATCAAACGCCAGGATAGCACCGATGAAAACGAGAAGCCGTGTCGGAAATCCAAGCGATCATGTATGATGCCGTGAGCGGCCGAAAAACGAAGGGCTTCATGGAAGGCGGTACTGGACGCAGACGCCGGCTGTTGAGAGGAATGTCGCTGGTTGACTGGTACGCTCGGATGGTTGGTATCATGGTCGGAATCATCGTAGAGAGAAAAATTCTCGTTAAAGTTCTCAGTACATTCTGATTTCTTCATCTTGCGAGAGTCGAGTTGCAAGCCGGCACGCTCGGCCTCCTGAACCATCCAAACTAAGGTGTATGGCTGAGGCGCCATCGCTCGCCCCGGGATCGTTTCCATCCTCCCCTGATGTCGGAATGGCAGCCAGGAAACCAAGCCTCCTAAACGTCTTAGTAAAATTCGCCCCATCTGCGAGGTCTACCGAACCCAATCTTATACAGAGCCACAGGATATCTCGAGAGCAGCGAGATACTTGCACTCGCGAGATCATGTCGAAATCTCCAAACCAGGCTACAGCCGGCCATACTTACAATCAACGTCGAATGTCAAAACAGCAATTTGCAGGGCCTCTAAGTATTTGTATTCCCCGCCGGTCAACTGGTCCCACCATATGATCAGTGATTGCGGACGCAGAATGGGTCCTGAAGTGGTAGAAGGCTAACGCATTTAATTTCCCACTTATGGCCAAAGCCGCTCGCGATTATCTATACATCCCTTCTGCGGAGGTTGGGATTGAACGCGAGTTCAGCAACGCTAGAGATGTCTTGGGACTCCGAAGATACTGTCTGAACGCGGAGACTATGCGATGATTAATGCTATTGAAAGGGCAATATCAGACATGACTTTAGGGCGGTGCACGCATGTAAATTCAGTGGTATAGAATCAAAGTCTCGTATGTGCTTTGTTATGGATCAGAGTATATGAGCTTGGTTGATTTATTGGGATGTAATGTAATGAATGGTTATGTATGGTATCTTATTATATAATAAATATGAATTATTCATATTATTCAATTCTGTTGAGATAAGTAGGTTGTATTGAGTTCTTAATGAGTTATCTAAAAAGTGGGAATCCCATCTATTTAAGCGTCCATCGCTAGTCCCGCCATAAGCTTAGACTACCGCGATACTTGACAGGAAGCCCAAGCCCCTCTCAGCTCTCCGTCTCCTTCGCTACTTCACTCCTCAAATCCGCCAACCCCACTGCTCCACCCGATTGAGCTACCCCACAACCCAACGAAAAACCTCTACACTAAATCCCGATCACTTACTCTACCATCGCTGCTGAACTCTCTCGTTCCATAGACAAGCGCACGATAGGACGTGCCGAAAACGGGAGTTTACTGTACAGGGATATATATAGCTGAGTGTTGGCCGTCTCTCTAGGCGTAATTGCTAGTAATGTACCCGTAGGAATATCGAATGATGAAGGTCTGATTCTTTCAATCTAGCTGCAAATGATGGTTTAAATACATGAAGAATAATAAGCAATCTAGCCTAAAAAGGCAGCTGAAAAAGATATAACTTTTGAACCATGGAAATAACAGAAAAATCTGCATAATCCTCGGGAATCGGTAGTTACCAATACCGATGTCCGGAATAGAAAGGTCTCCTATGTGACTAGCGGTCACATACGGTCGACACTGAGGTAGCCTGCATATGGCGTTTACAGTTGGCGTACCCAACTAGACTACATTAAGAATCCGTACCTAGCCTAGTGGGCCGTGGGCCGTGGTTTATAATTCAACTTTAATTGCGAGGAGTCAGGGTGAATGACATCAACCAACCAACCAACCACTGTACATAGTCTCAACATTTGTTCAAGGATAAGGGAAACCGCATGGGAAAAACCTTATCAAGACCAGTCAGTGTTGCTGACTTGCGTACTAATCTAATCCATCACCTAACCAGGGCAATCATAAAGGAAATATCAGCCATAGCAACACCTCCCATATAAATAGCTAGAATTGACGGTGTTTTCAAAAGGAAATCTTCCACGGCTAATACCTCCAATATTTCTTACCCGGATTCATCTTCCGAATTCAAGTATGCGCAATCACTGCGGAAAAGGTTACCGTTAGCTACTCAAGCCAATGAGTATATATGAGTAGAATATGCACATACTCTCTATTCCATACAGATCTATCAGCCAATCTGCGCTCATCAACTGCATCAATATAGGGACATCCACTCACTGTCTATTCCATCCAAATCAATCAGCAAGTCTGCACTTATCAACTGTATTAATATAGGGATATCCACTCACTGGCTACTCCATCCAAGTCTATCAGCAAGTCTGCACTCGTGAACTGTATTAATATAGGGACATCCACTTACGTTCTATTCCAGCCAAATTAATTAGCTAGTCTGCAATTATCAACTGCATAAATATAGGGATATCCACTTACTGGCTATTCCATTCAACTCCATCAGCTCCATCAGTTAGTCTGCACTTATCAACTGTATCAATATAAGGATATCCACTCACGTGCTATTTCATCCAAATCTATCAGCCAGTCTGCACTTGTTAACTGCATTAATATAGGGATATCCACTTACGGGCTATTCCATCCAAGTCTATCAGCAAGTCTGCACTCATCAATTGTATCAATATGAGGACATCCACTTACGTTCTATTCCAGCCAAATTAATCAGCTAGTCTGCAATTATCAACTGCATCAATATAGGGATATCCACTTACTGGCTATTCCATTCAACTCCATCAGTTAGTCTGCACTTATCAACTGCATCAATATAGGGATATCCACTCACGTTCTATTTCATCCAAATCTATCAGCCAGTCTGCACTTGTTAACTGCATTAATATAGGGATATCCACTTACTGGCTATTCCATCCAAGTCTATCAGCAAGTCTGCACTCATCAATTGTATCAATATGAGGACATCCACTTACTGACTATTCCATTCAAGTCAATCAGCAAGTCTGCACTCATCAACTGCATCAATATAGGGATATCCACTTATATCCTATTCCATCCAAATCAATCAGCAAGTCTGCACTTATTAACTGTATTGATATATGAATATTCACTTACTGGCTATTCCATCCAAATCTATCAGCAAGTCTGCACTCGTGAACTGTATTAATATAGGGACATCCACTTACGTTCTATTGCAGCCAAATTAATCAGCTAGTCTGCAATTATCAACTGCATCAATATAGGGATATCCACTTACTGGCTATTCCATTCAACTCCATCAGTTAGTCTGCACTTATCAACTGCATCAATATAGTGACATCCACTCACTGGCTATTCCATCCAAATCTATTAGCTAGTCTGCACTTATCAACTGTATCAATATAGAGATATCCACTCACTTTCTATTCCATCCAAATCTATCAGCAAGTCTGCACTCGTCAACTGCATCAATATAGGGACATTCACTCACTGGCTATTCCATTCGAATCCATCAGTAAGTCTGCCCTTAAATTTACCTTGCGTTAATTATCCGATCCGATCGTATTTACTGACCATGATATTTTTATTTTGAAAATCTCGTTATTGTTGCGGTAAGATCGGCTTTCGGTTGGAGGTCGAAGTGATGTTTGTTCCGAACGTCTCTTGCGTTTTGCAAGATTGGATTTCGTGGATTATGCCACGCTTTTGTACAGAGTCTCCAGTCCACTTTGCTGACTGGGTCTCCCCCACCAAGGAGTCCTTGGCTACCTGGTCACGAACCAGTTAGCCAATTATAAAAGTGGGGCGATTGTCGGCACGGACACCTTGACATCTCCTTCGGTTCGACACATATCAATAACAGTATTTCAATTCGATGGGGCCTGACTTCCAGGCCCATGTATGGGCTTTGGCGCAGTCGAAGCTCGAGTGTGTCAGCCGAGAACGCAATTGTGGAAAGGGTGGCCTGTTCATAGTTCTGCTACCATCTAAGACATATACGCGCAAACAGGTAGTTGAAGGCGAGTGAGGGATTTTCCTGGTTTGACTCGGCCTCAAAAGAAAAACGACATTGCACAAACTTAAAATCAATGGGATCTGAAGCGGAATTACCGTAATAGGCACTCGAGGGCGATGGCTCAAGCCGATTGGTCGCCATAAGAAAAAGCAAAGAACCATTGGAACACATCCATCGAGATGCAGTGCGGCCAGGGACGTGCCACCCATCGTGGGTTATCCAAACCAATATCCATCTCGGTTATCGTAATCAAACTCACTGCCGAAAGACGGTTTCGTAAGCGGGGGAGTGGGGGGGGGATCGCCCCGCGAGATGGACCATTTCTTCTCATTGACATCTCGCATGACTTAACAAAATTCCGTGCCCCATCGAACCTAGCAAATAACCAATACGCCTTTCATATTTCAAATTCGCTTTCACAGAGCGAGACTTGAAATGTTAGTGACAAGCTTCGCTTCGGACATAACCTTTGGTCAAGCCCGTTATTGGCTGTCGTCTCGTTCTTCAGTTCCACGGTATGTAGACTAATTTTTCATGTCTGATGGTGTCACAGACCTAGACCCGAAAATCGGCACTAAGGGGCATCAGTGGGCGAAATCCTGGGAGTGGGTTAGCGTTAAAACAAGCAGCGCGGATTGGCGTCCCATCGCTCAACGTCGATGGGTCGATGTCTATTAGAAGGCGTACTCCACCAGCTAGTCGCCTTTTCCGATGGGCAGGAATACGCCGAACAGTAAAAGCCTAATCCGCATTCTCTCTTACGGCCTGAAAGTTACCCCCATTATTGTTGCTGCATTTTCATATATATGTACGATCACAAGATGAATAAGATAGATGCCAAACCATTCGCTGACCATCCTTGTGCTTTCACCAGTCCGATACAGGATTCAGTCTCCAACGCTTCGAAAGAGTTAACCAAGTCAATGAGGTCTTAGGTAGTAGAGCTTGATCCCGAGAAAGACGTATACATCCCCCCCTGCCGCATCGCCATACGAAACCCATGCTGCCCAGCCATAACGGTCTTCATGAGATTTCCAATGGCATCAATCTCCGGACTCGCGGGGAGAAGATGGTCATGAGCTACATGCAAGGGCATGATGAAGCAGAGGACCCCGTAGACACTCGTGTTATCGCCAATGGATTGCTGTGCCAGATAAACAATCTCGCTTGCCAGAGCGTGCTTGCGCTGCGCTCGCGTGTGTGCGGTTGATGGCCTGTCCAGCCCGGCAGACACTTCTAACGACGGAGGCGATGGTGTTAGCCACGGGACCCCAAGCAGGTAACATAGTTCTTCCAAGAGGAGAAGGGCCATGTGGTAGAAGGCAATTGCAGGAGCAGTTTGGGCGACGGATCTCGGGGGAAAAGTGTTGCTTGCACTAAGCCGAAAAAACGAGGTATCTTGCCACTGTTGAAGTGCCGTCAAGGTCTGCTTTAGACTCATTTCCAAGACTGCATGGTTCCTTCTGTCCAGAAGCTTGCCATCTTTTAGACAGTCCAGGCCGTGTAGGAGACCGGGGATGTCAACTGCGATATTGAGCAAAGTGTCAAATATATTGCGTGATTCATCTTCGGTCAGCTTTATAGCTTTCCTCCAACGTTTCTCGGCCAGGAAGCACGGCTGATGAAGCGTCCCAGCGCTCACAATCTAGCTATGTTACTCTTGTTCGAAGAATACATAGGCACTGTCCAATTGATTTTAATAAGCTTACTATTGTATAGCGGAATGCCAGCAAAATATCTCTGTTTCTTCCATTTCGATAACGCTCTGGCCCGTTTATCTGAATCTACCATAAAGATTAGCCAATCTAAGGACAGCTGCAACAGTACCCTACCACGGGCTATTTACCAGACGAGAGATGCCCTTGTAGTGCTCAATCCAGGACCTTGGCTCGGTGACGACAATATTTTCGTAAAGGCAAAGGCACATTATGCTCATCAGAAGGTCCGGTTCGGTCGTTAGATCTTGGTCAATGGCTTTCCGAACGGCCGTCAGAGCCTGGGAGTATGTCTTTACTGCTTCCCCAGAGGGACTTCCACGAGTACCTAGAGCTGTCGTTGAGTGATAGCTCACAGTAAGCGCCTTCATACATTTGTGCTGTAGGGAGCCGATCGGTAAGGCTCTATCCAGGAACGCACACAGAAGGCGAGGAATCCCGGACCCTTGGGAGCATGTTCCGCTGCCGACAAGCCGAAGCAGGAAATACTCGCGGGAGACTGAAATCGGGTCTGGAGCTAATGTAGATATCAAAACTGGCATTGCCCGTCGAGCAGCCGACGCCCGAGTATTGTTTTTGCCCAACTCTTTTTCCTTGAAAGGAATGCTGTTCCCTGCTGGCTGAAAGGGGACAATTACAAGGGATGAAATGTACCCTTGACAAGTGTAGCCTAGCTTCTTGCATGTTGCACAGAATGGCTCCTGCTGGTCTGCAGAGCTGTTACCATGATGTGATGCAATCCAGCGGGGCTGTCGATGACGGGGAGACGAAGATTTGTGGCTTGAATCATAGGATACCATTATGTGCTAGGTGACGTAATCGGCTTACATACCACATTTCACCCTGCGGTCCCTACACGTTTCACACTTTTTCGTTCGGCGCCCGCCCGTTAGTTTGCGTGGCGCCAGCTCCATGGCGTCACGCTAAGAATCTGCTTCGAGGGTTCAGGTAATGCCGGCCCATGCGCATTGGACGCTGCACAGATATGGTAGGATGGTCTGGTCTGGCGTTAGAGGGACGGCAGATGTCTTGAACTTGTCGGCGTCGAGGGAGTCGATTTCATTCATATTGTCCCGGCGATCGCGGGGTTGAGGGGCTGATAGGGCTAATTAGTTCGTGCGATAGATGTGTTCCAATGGTTCTTTGCTTTTTCTTATGGCGACCAATCGGCTTGAGCCATCGCTCTCGACTGCCTATTACGGTAATTCCGCTTCAGATCCATGAGAAGTGATACAACCCCCCCCCTCTCACGGATTGTTATGATCCATAATGCTCTAATTCAGCCGACTTGACTTATCTGGCCATCGATTGGTCGGAATCGCCCCACAGTTTGTATTGCGATTCTCCGCGCTGTAATTGCTACACCTCGTGTTGGCTGTTATGCTACCAACAATCAGAAAAAGCAAAGATAGGGCGCGAAGACGCGTTCGCGTTTAACCTTCTGTTTTTTTTACGTTTAATCCACTTTTTCTATCACTCATACCTTACTGCGTGCAACAAGCGTGACATTCGAAAATAGACCAATTTCTCTATGTTCATGAATATCAGATTCTGATCTGTAAGCTGTGCGCATATGCGATCTTACTGACTCATCTTACCGGCCATCTCAAACGCTATCGCAAAGAATTTCCCGGATTCGAGAATAGCGCGGCCATCTCTGCCCTAGAGAATCAGCTAAGGGGCTTTTCTCTGGTCAATCCACTAGAGGAACGGGTGACTTTTCCCTTTTCGCAAAGCCCTCCATTATCAACACTTCCATTGCACGTCGGCTTTTAATGTAAGGACTGTTTGTATATTACTACGTCTCTTCCCTGGATGAAACAACATACTCAAACCCATCAGACAATTAAGAAAGGCCGGGGGCGACCCAAAAAAACATCCAACATTGTTACTCGTGATAATCCTATCCAATCTCTGTGAGATAATATTTCTTGCCAGCGTTTTTTCGTTTCCGGGTCCCAAAGTTAGTTCTTTCCGGTGACTTTGCCTCTTCTTCCGACTGCTACCTCTGAAACCGATTTTATTTGTGAGCAGGTCTATAAGCAACTCCGGCAGTTAGAGCAGCATCAGGAACAAGAAAGTCAGATTATTACAGCAGACTGCCACTACACTGCAATCAACCCCTGGTTAGAAAAGACCCGATGGCAGGAGTATACGCAAGGGCATACCCTTTCGGAGTTAGCTAGTCTGGCCTATATGCCCGATCCAGATCGAGAACCTCTCTTACAGCTTTGGACCGAGTTCCTTGATGCCATTCTTGATCAGGCTGTTCAATCCCTATCTACCCACCGGGTCAATGCATTTGATCAAGCTCAGATCAACAGCTTTATTGATGATGCCTATCGGCGGCCCTCTCATCGCCCAGTCTTCTATCACCTTCAGCCCTCGACGGAAAAGCGTTATCGACGGATCTGGAAACGCCTCTTCGGCTTTATCTACCGCACAACCTAGCCTACACAGTCGATTCGACTAGGCTATTTCTTAACCGAAATACAGGCCAATCTGTTATCTGAGATGATGCAATTCAGTCAGCAATTACACGAACAAACCTCCGCTATTTTGAATCCTCTGAATAGTCTCGAGCGACAAACGAACGCTAATACCCAAGAGATATCAGAAAAGCTTAATCGAACCTGTCTTCTCTTCTGTATTGCTCTTCTCGATCATATCCTACACAGGGCTATCTTCGAGAGTGTGGTAGTAGGATTTTTCGCAATCTTAGGAATTGATGAACAGAAGCAGACCTTTCGCAGTGCCTATACATATATCCCAATCCTCTCAGGGGTCATTAAGATTGGGCAGCTACTGGTGATTCAGAGATCGGTCTTGGCTGTAGATAATGGGTCCGTTGAGGAACCCTCTAGTCTATTAAATGAGATGCGTCAACGATTTCTGATCTATAGATGCGCTACCCCGATCGGCTGGGCGCTCCGATTACGCACCTATGGGAAAAAGATCCGGTTGCGTCAGGCGCCAGCTCCTCCGGGGCAAGTGGCCTGATCTGATAGCAGCAGTACTTTTAGTTATCAGGACAAGTCGTTTAAGATGGCGGATTTCCGATGCCTTGTTCATTATTAGGTCGAGACTTTGCAATCAAAATTAAATTACCTTCTACTGCAAAATCGATCTTTCCCACCACTTTCTATTCCGAATTTCAACCTATCCCAGGTCTTTGATGATCATGCCCATCTAGCTACCGGATGAAACTTTCTACAAGATCCACGGAACCAGACCCTGTTCGCTGGATCCGAGCGATAGATTCTCAATTATATAATCTATGAGCTACCTCTCCGATACCAGTTTCTGAAGATAGACCTGGGATGTCAACAACTGAGCTGGGAACCGAAAGTAGCGAGAGATTATCTGAAGTAGATTGATCAGTTCTTAGAACAGTTATTGATCGTTTGTCATCTTACCTCTGGCCATCCCGCTCGCGGCACGGAAATTCTGAGTCTTCAACATATCAATACCTTGCATGGGGGGTATCGCGGGATCTTTATAGAGAATGGCCTAGTAGAATTAGTTACGGCATACCATAAAAGATATTATATGACCGGTTCCACATCACTCATCCACCGATATCTTCCTGAGCGGAAAACGACAAAAACACATCCATCTTGATGGAGTAGCGGGAAAGAACTTTTAAAGATTAGAAGCGTTCTGGAGTCTCTAAAATGTGTCCCGACTGACCGACCGACCGACCGAAAAGGCCTATAGGCACACAGATGATAATTAAACAACCCGCAGCGGTATTAGGTGACACTTAAGATCAATAAGTATATCTCAAGTAAAGATACTTCAGATCCTAGACATCCTTTAGTAGCTACAGCACCTTACGCATTCATGCTAATATTGGTATTTTACTCCTGCCAAAAGAATACCGACCTGTTGCGTAAGCCACTATAGATCCTATGGATCCTTTAGTAGCTATAGTACCTTAAAGATCTCCCGTAAAATCTAAGATAAAGTCTGTTGGCATAACAGTTATCCTTTGGCCCAGTTATTAGTACAGCCAGTTTCCCTCTATGAGCCACACCCCACCCTCAGGCCAGTATCTTTAACCTTAATATAGGAGTCTAGGTATATTCGTCCGATAGAATCTATAGAACCTCTAGTATGCTTAGTTTCTATATCTCTATTAGCCGCGATAGGATGGAAGGAGCCTACCTGTCTATTGCCGCGCAGCTAATCAGCCCACCTAAGGGTTATAGCTGCGCCTACTGTGGGTATATTGGCCGGACCCAGGAGACAATGCGAAAGCATCGCCGCCAGAAACATCAGGATCAGAAAGGACGGCGAGGTCCAGGCCGGCAATCTAAGGCCCAGGCCCAGGCTTGCCTCCGTAACCGTCTTGCCGATCGAATAGTTAGCTGTCAGCGTTTCTGCACTACTCGCGCAGGCAATTCTTCGAGGTAACCTGCGCGGACGTCCAAATCGATCTAAAGGCAGAGGAAACAGTCTCTCTAAAAACCCCTGCCGCTATTATCCGGGCCCGGGTCGAGCAGGCTTTGCAGGAGGGCCAGGCCGCTGCGGAACGGGCCGATGGCCAGGTACTGACAATTGACCCGCATCCGACTGCCGTCTCTCCCTGGCTGGAGCTAACCCGCTGGCCCCAATACCTCCAAGGGCAGGATCTGACCGCAGTAGCTCTGCTAGGCGATCTGCCTGATACGACTGAGCCCTTGCTCGAGCAGTTTACCGCTAGCGTCCAGCGACTGATGATGAGCGATAGCTCTGTTAAGGCTCGAAAATCGGATAGAAACGCTTGATTCCTTCTCATACTACAACTGCAGAGGTTCTAGAGATGCAGCTGCCCAGTGTGGGTCAGCTGACTGACTAACTACGTGCAGCCTAGCGCCGCAAGCCATAGCAGGCTCCAACAACTGATCGATCAGGCCTACCACGCGATCAAGGAGGGCCGGATCAACGAATTCGACCAGATTCAGATCAATACCTTCTTCCGCCGACCGGGGATCTGGAACCGGCCGATCCAGATCCATCTCCGGCCAGCTACCTACCGCCGGTACTGCCAGGTCTGGCAGCGCCTAGTCTGTTTTGCCCATCGTAGCAGCCGGACTGATCAGCCGATTGCGCTCCGCCACCAGCTGAATACTGCCCAGTTTGCCGCGCTTGATCAGATGGAGATCTACGGCCAGCAACTAGTTGATCTACCGAGCCAGGAACAAGATCTAGAACCGTCGCAGCGCGCCAATGAGCAGAAGCAGGCCGAGGAACTGCTGATAAGGCGTGCCTAGCATTTTCAATTGCCTTGCTCGACCATGCCCTTAAAGGGGACCTCTTTGAAAGTACCCTAGTCGGGTTTCTCGCGGTTTTAGGGATTGATACGAAGCAGCAGACCTTCTTAAAACCCTACAGCTACACCAGCTATCTGTCCGGACTGGTTAAAATGGCTCAGATGCTGGTTGCTCTGCAGGCAGTCTATCAAGCAGAGGCTGGCCGGGTAACCCATCCGGCCGACGCCCTGGATGAGATGCGGGAGCGGTTTTTAATCTTCGGGGTCCGCGCCCCGTTCGGCTGGATTACCCGACTCCGGGCCTACGGGAAGAAGGTCCAGAACAGTACCACCGGCATGGGTTATATTTACTGGAGCGACGATGATCAGACGCTCAGCTACAAAGAGCTACAGCTTAGTATGTCGGGATTCTGGCAGTTTATCGCAAAGCAAGTCCAGTTGGCCCAGATTCAGCTAGAGGGGCTTTTTCTGCTGCACGACGAGGAAATACGCGAGACGATCGTACCCCGACTAGCTCTAAATGAGCTGCGGGATGACCCAACCAATAACTAGCGGGGATGGAACTTTCTCAAGGATCCCCGAACGCGGGCAGCGTTATCGACTACTGGCGAACGGTGGCTGCTCGACCGAGTCCTTGAGACAAGCTGGCTGCGGGATGAATTCCTCGAACTGCGCCGGATCGGTCAAGAAGATCATGTTCTCTGGCGGGAGAGAATCGTGACCCGTTACCAGCAGAATATCGAGAAGTTTCTCGAGCGGCTTCTTCTGCTCGTCCATATGACTGGCGGCCAACCGGACCGGGCAACTGAGCTGCTTAGCCTCTGCCATAGCAATACCAAACATGGCCGCCATCGGAGTATCTTTATCGAACATGGACTGGTCAGTACGGTTACCAGCTACCACAAAGGCTATTCGATCAATAATACTACCAAGATCATCCATCGTTATCTCCCGAAGGCGGTCAGTGAGCTCGTGGTCTACTATCTCTGGCTAGTCCTCCCCTTTAGCCAGGCGCTCGAGCGGCTCGTCCGGAACCACCGCCAGTCTGGCTCACCCTATCTCTGGCCTGCGGGGGAGGGTACATGGGCCAGTGAGCGGCTGCGGAAGGTGCTGCAGCAGGAGGCCCAGATCTACCTAAAGACAAAGCTCAATATTATGTCCTATCGGCATGCAGCGATCGCCATTTCACGCGTCCACCTGAAAGGTAGTAGATTTAAACGAGACTACGGGACGGATGACGCGCCGTTTGATCAACAGGTAAGCCATAGATCATGGATAGCCGGTACAGTATACGCGCGGGGAATCCAGGAAGCCCCAGGACATATCGAGGCACGGCGGCGGCAGTATCGGGCAGTCAGCCGGGAGTGGCATAAATTCCTTGGCTTTGAGGTCTATCTTGGGCCGCGGAAACGGCGTGCCGAAGATGATTTGGAGGGTACCAGACCGAAACAGGCATGTATTACTATTGAGATGGACGACGATTAGATATCTTACCGGTTATTATCAGTATCCTAGAGGCCTAGGCTCAAAGAATTGAATCTTAGGATTTATGGAATGGTCGATATATCCTAAAAAATAATGAGTGAGAGAGAGATATATATATATCTATACTACAGATATAAATGTACATGTAGGCTACTCCACTAGTTTCTGGATAGGATGACGATCTATCTTTTTTTTTATTAAGTCCCTAGCCCAGAAGAGGGCGGGAGTCCTTGCTATAGTGGATTATAGAGCTCTAAAGGAACTGTACTAATAGTAACTAATGAGCCAGATCCAGCGGTTCCTGCGGCCGAGCAGTAGCCGCAGTAGTGGCCCCATGCCCCATACGATATGACCGCGCGGCAGCGAGCCAAATGGGAGGATCTCTGGTGGCTGGTGCAGCAGCCGGAGGCACCAATAGAGGTAGAGGAGACACTCCAGCCATGGATCATGCGGCCACGCGAGCAGGCATACTTGGAGTTCTGCGTGGAGCTGCTGAACCAGCGCCATCGCACCCACGAGTATAAAAATGTGCTGGTGTGCGCCAGGGCCGTTCTAGACCGCAGCGAGACGGGGTGGCATGGCGCCGATAGCTATCCGCCCATCTTGTCGCGGGTCATCAAGATTGCACGGTTTGTGGTTGTGCAGAAGGCGCTCTGGCTAGATCCTATGGTTATATCAATCATCCGGATGTGGCAGAAGGAGCAGACCGTGACTCTATAGGCACTGCTCAGTGCGGATCAAGAACTAGAGGATATCGATAAGGGATACAGCAGTTCGCGAGAATCGAGTCCTATATCCGAAGGAGTAACAGCAGGGACAGGAGCAGAAGCAAGAACAGAAACAGCAGGAATATCTATCAAGTTAAGCTCGTAACGCTCCCGGAGCTCCCCCAGCGCCCACCGATCTACCCCCGAGTCCCCGGCCCGACCCACGTTCCAGGACCAGGTAGAGCGTATGGTCCATCGTTTTATAGTCCGCGGCACGCATGGACCGATAGAAACGCTACTGGACTGGCGGATATATGGGCTCAAAATCCACTACAACACTACGAGCCCTGGCCATGTGACCTAGATGAGCGAGGAGGAACTAGGGTATAAGGACATCCATTTTACGATAAGGGCATTCCGGGGCTATCTTCATGGGCTCGTGCGGGCTACTACGGATGCACTTCATGACATATTATATATATCTGCTGATTACCCTATTCCTAACATTCCATGGGCCCAGCTGTACGATGATCTTACCCAGAACAAGCCTGGCTGGAGCTTTTTACAGGATAGCCGCACGCCGTGGCCTGTCGATGGGCAACATTGGATGATCGAGCGGCTCCGCAGTGAGACCGCGATACAGAAGCAGTTTATTCGCGGTCAGCAATTGCATTCGCAACGTACCCACGGCTACTTTTAGCAGGTCACGCGGTTTAAAGAGAAGCTCGCGGTACTTATCCATATTAGCAGCGGACAACCGGCACGGAGCCCCGAGCTAATCAGCATCCAGCATCAGAATACCGAAACCAACGTCCGTCGTAATATATTTATCGAGGATGGGATAGTAGCATTCGTCACTGCATACCATAAGGGATTTTATGCGAGTAATGATATCAAGCTAATCCACCGGTTTGTGCCCCGTGAAGTGGGCTCGCTAGTCGTGTATTATCTGTGGCTCGTCCGGCCGTTTATCGACCAGTTGACCGCATGGCAGCAGGCCCACGGCCCCCGGGCCCAGACAACCCCCCCGGCGGCCCCCCCCGGTCACTGCACACACCCGGGCATTGCTCTGGGGCCCCGATCCCGGCACCCAGCGGGGCTGGTCGTCCGACAGATTGCGTGAGATACTCAAGCGGGAGACATATGAGCGGCTCGGGAAGCAGGCCATCAATCTGCATGCATACCGCGATATTGTCATTGGGATCAGCCGGCGGTTCCTGCGGCCGAGCAGCCAGTTCCCCCATAATAAGCAGGAGACGAGAGACCAGGCAGCAACCATACTAGATGCCGATAATGAGGACAGCATAGATGCCGAGCAGTGGATGGGCCATATTGCTGATCTCCAGGCGGCCCATTCATCTCACGTAGCCGGAATGATTTATGGCCGGAATATTATGGAGCAGGCTGGTACCACGGCTCACCGGAAAGAGATGTTCCGTTTATCCAGTACCGACTGGTACCGGTTCCTGCAGTTTGCGTCGGCGGAGGCAATAGAGCCCCCCACGGCACTCGGAAAACGCAAACGGGCGCCATGGGAGGAGGCAGCCGCAGAGCAACAGATCTGGCGGCGTTACCGGTTTCAGCAAGCTGACATGGCCGCCGCCGCGCAGCGTATGGTACAGAAGGAGATCCAGCTCCGGGGGGTACAGGGTCCCGCACTGCGTGCCATTCAGGACGGGGAGAGCCCGGTGGTAGCCGTAATGCCCACGGGAGGTGGAAAAAGCATGCTGTTTATGCTCCCGGCATGGGTGGAGCCCGGGGGGACGACTGTCGTGATAATTCCTCTACTGGCACTGCGGCAGGACTTTCAGCGGTGGTGCCAGCAACTAGGCATCTCGTGTGTTGCATGGGAGAGCCGGCGACCCCCCGATGAGGCATCCATTGTACTAGTGACACCCGAATCGGCTGTTACCCCCGATCTCCAGTCATTTTTGAACCGGCTCCGGTTGGTCCAGCGACTGGACCGGATCATTATTGATGAATGCCATGTTATGCTGCCTGAAGAAACGGATTTCCGGCCCGCGATGCAGCAGCTTGGCCGGCTAGTGACTGCCCGCACGCAGATGGTATTGTTAACTGCCACATTGCTACCGATACTGGAAGATCGGCTATTTCAGCGGATTGAATATGCCCGCGAAGATATCCGCGTATTCCGGGCCCTGACAACGCGGACCAACATCCGATACCAGGTATGGCGGCCAGAGGTAGGGAATATCGGGCGAGGGCCGCATGCATGGCTGCAGGTGGAACCCGTGGAAACATTCATTCAGCAGCGAATCGCGGAGGCCACCACGGCAGGCGGTAAGGTAGTCATATATGCAAACATTATCAGCCAGGTGACGGCTGTCGCGGAGTAATATGGCTGCGAAGCATACTACAGTCAGGGAATCGACCGGCCGGGGGTGTTGCAGCGATTTATAGACGGGATCAGCCCCGTAATCGCTGCCACAAGTGCATTAGGAATGGGGGTAGATATCCCCGATATCCGGTGTATCATCCACCTGGGCACACCGCGGACGTTACTGGATTATGCCCAGGAGAGCGGGCGTGCGGGCCGGGATGGCCAGACAAGCCAGGCCATCATCATTCAGCCAGCCGGGTGGGATGAGCCCGCCATCTGGATGCAGGATGTGCCCGCAGTCGACCAGCAGTTGAGAAAATTCTGATTGTGCGTGTTTACCGCCTCGGGAATCCCTGAAAGGGCCGGCCACGAGGGTTTCGCCCCAACCATATCGATGTCCCCTATAAAGTTAGGTTCAATCGATAGCGGCTGGGGTTGATAGTAAACTGGCTGATTCTAGAGGCCGTAGCCGTCGTGGTTGTTGAGTAATTTCAAAAATTAGGTTCGCGTCGAAGTTGTTGTTTTTAATTTTTTTTTTTTTTTTAGCTCTCGAAAGGGATTTCTCCTTTTAATTACTTACTTACCTGTTCTTCTCTAATGGCAATGCAAACACGCAGAAATCGTCAAAATTACCTTGCTCTAAATGATGGTTTTGATAGTGATACACTACCTGAAGACTGAATGTCGAGTCTAACTAAGACTCCAGCAACTCAAGATTTACAAGAGCATGGCCCATCTTCTTTACCCGAATCTATTATTCAGCCAGTAGCCTCTACTGATATAATCTCTTATCTTGATTTTCTGGATAAAGAGATACTACCGTCAGAATCTGCCTCTCAATTTCCAAATAAAACAACTACTACTACTGTTTCCGAACATTCACACGCAAAACAACAGAAGATTGAATGGTTGTGGGATCATTTCCAGATAAGAGAGTTTCCTAATGAATAGATCGAGAAGAGGAGCAGAAAGAAGAGGTCTGTCGATCGAGAAATCTCTTGTACTATCATCAACAAGAATACCGGGACATCATGTAATTGGTCTACACAGACTCAAAGCGACAGACATCTACTACCAATATCCGGCTCCATTTAAAAGAGAAGCATGGGATCTTACCACCTGGAATTACTACCTCTAAGTCGGCAATTATTATTCAGGAGCCTACTATTGTCAGCCTCTGGGGTAACAAGGAGAAGCTTACAACTCAAGAAACTCTTGAAAAGAACCTTCTTCGCTGGGTTGTCAGCAATAAGCAACCTTTTACTATCATCGAATCAGTCACATTTCAGCAAATTTTCAAAGATATACCAGCGATTTCACTTCCGTTTATCTCTCGTCACACTCTTCGGTAACGTCTCATGAAAGATTTCGACTTACAGTGTGCTGAATTGAAAGAGGAGCTTTCAGCTACATGCAAAACAATTGCTTTATCTCTTGATGCGTGGACTAGCCAGAATCACCTACCTATCCTTGGTGTCATTGGCCATTGGCTTACGGAAGAATTTGAGTATCGAGAAAAAGTTCTAGAGTTCAAGGAACTGCATGGACCACACAGCGGAGAGAATCTGGCTGCAGCTGTTGAATCATTGCTTATTGAACTTGGGCTTGAACAAAAGCTGCTTTCGATTACTGGTAATAATGCTAGTAATAATGAGCGAATGGTGCTACAGCTATCTCAGAATCTTCAGAAAAAGTATGAGAACAACCTCTTATTCTCTGACTTAGGGAGTTATGTGCACTGCTTAGCCCATATTATTAACCTCATTGTTAAGGATAGTCTTGGGACTCTCAGGTCTGGTAATATAGGAGAAGCTAATATTGTCTGCACTAACCTTGATGAGGGAAACTACCAGTCATTCCAGACTGTTGAACCGCTTGCGAAGCTGCGCATCCTGGCTCTCTGGATCCATCGAAGTCCTCACCGCAGTCAGTCATGGAACGATAGCTGCAAACATATGAACCTCCCTAATAAGTTCATTGAGTATGATGTTGATACACGATGGAATTCAACTTTTCGAATGCTAAGTGATGCTTTACAGACCGCGAGCATGTACATACTACTGCAGCATCGTGGGCCATATCTGGGGAACGCCATCCCTTGTCGAGGTGGGGCTGCTGGCCGTTTTGTCCGATCCGGTTAATAGTTAGGGCAAGTCGGTTCTTAATTCCGAGATCATCGCCCTCCTTGCTTTATGGATGGCCAGACTTTTGTTTATGTGGAGTTGTTGGTCGGAGGTTCTCTTTTACATGTCCGTTGTATGTCCATTGTACTCCGAGTAACTGTGGACTGCACGTCAGCACTAAGAACCGAGGCATCTTTCCTCGCCTGATGTCAACCTTTTGTGCTCGGCTAAGGTAAGGTAGTTTCCTTGTTTTACAGAGCGAATTTTAGCCGGTTCTGGTACTCGGCAGTACATACTGGCTGGAATATAAGCCCTTTTGGGAAGTTTTGTCAATAATCACTCTCGATTGTGGGACTGGGACTATCAGGAGCTGGTCGGACTTGCGATGGATTCTCCGTAATTTATGGAGTACAGGCGAAAGTAATTGAGATTTCTTGACAAAATATCAATCAACCGTAAATAACTACTAAAAGCTCATCCTAGACATTGTCCCCTGATGCGTTGAGTAGACGGTCCTCCTTGATCCTACCGGATACCCATTCCGCAATTCCATATAAATTGGCCATTGGATGACCGCAAAACTGCAACGGCTGTATCGAAGCGTCGACCACTCGAACATTTACAGCCCCGTGGACCTTGAGTCGGTCGTCTACCACGCCACCCATCTCGCGGGGTAGCATGGACGTTGTCCCAATGGCATGGTAGTTTGGAGTATCTGAAGGACGTCAGGTAAGCACGTACAGCTATTTGGCTCGGATCCACCTACACTGTTCTCCAATACACTTTTCCCATTCTTCGTCTGATGTGTCCTCCGGCACAACTTGAAAGCCCGGTAAGGTCTCATTACCAACAATGTCTTTCAACTCGCCTGTTTGGAACATGCGTCGGAGGAACTTGGACATCCCGATTTGGATTTGAACATCCCAGTCGTGCATCCCGTAATTTGGATTCACCACAGGTGGCGACAGTGGATACGAGGATGAGATGTGCACGTTACCCCGTGCAAAAGGGAGAATACCCCAATATCCTGTATGAAGCGTGAGTACCCTGTGGGATGAAAACAAACTCTGCTGAGGGAACCTGCTCGGAAAATATAAGGTCGTGTTGAATCTCAAATAACTTTACAAGATCCTTCTCTTTTATCGCTCCGTTGCTTTGCTGTGCCGTAACTCTAGCATACTCGGATAGCTGAGATCGAATGGATTTGGCGGCTTATTCAGTTGATGATCCAAATATATCTTCGGCTGAAGCGAAGGCCACTGTTCTGGTTCCCGTAACCGGAACTTTTGTCGACACCACAATGGATGTATTGAGCTGGTCTTGCAAGTTCTCCCCAACATTGGGCAAGTTGATTTGTACGGGAATCCCGTTCTTTTTGAGGATCCTGCATTTATTAGTAAGAAGCCATCAAACGACCCGAGAGGGGATAGCATCTAAGCTCGGATTTCCTGCACCCGATAGCTCCAAAAGAGCAGGTGATCGCATCGCGCCAGCTGCTAGGATAGCCTCTCTCCGAGCATTGCTAGCATATCGTTTTCCATGCTTGCTCTCATAAGTTTCAACTCCTTCGGATCTGAGTCCATCATCTCCATTCTTATCGCTCCATAGTAGCCGAGTCACAAGCGTATCCAGTTTCAAATGGAGATTGGGGCGATCCTTATATGGCCAGTAATAAGCACGCGCCGCATCACTGCGGATATCATCCGGATACGGTATACGGATGAAGCGTGAACTCTCGCATATGCCCTGAGTTCAAATCCGGGTTCCAAGGTAAACCCACTGTACTCAGGGCCCGATTCAGTGCCGTCGTCAGGTCATTCTCCCCCTTCGACATGGGCCTGAAACCAACGTTGACCGGGCCATGAAAACCATGAAACCGAGGGGCAAATGTGGCTCCAGCGCTAACTTCTGCCTGGTTGGGGGCGTTAAGCCTCTCGCTCTTGAGGTAGTATGGATACAAACTATGCCATGACCACCCATTGATCCCAAACCGTTTGAAAGCATCGACTTGCGATGGCTCTGCGCGTGCATAAGCCGCTCCTGTTTAACTCGTCAACACCATTTATAATGAGAATCATTGATATACATGCCGTTCATGACGTTCGTTCCTCCCAGAGCTTTTCCGGTGCGTATTATTTGTCGGCGTCCGCCATAGGCTTGTTCAGTGGTCTGAAAAGCCCAATCGAGAGGGCTGTCGTAGGTCGATGCGAGACGACTGATGTCGGTCACATAGGGATTGTCGTAGACAGAGTCACCGCCCTCGATTACCAAAACCGAGATATTGGGGTCTTCTGACAGTCTGTTCGCTACTACCAGCCCACTCGTTCCACCGCCCACAATGATATAGTCGTACTCGGCAGCTATAGCGCTGGTGATGAGAAGTATCCAGGCAAACAACATCTGGAAATATAATACCAAAAATGCAGTTTTCTGGGGAAGTTCCTATCAGAACGATAAGCGTTCAATTATGTACGTCTCGGTTATGCATCACCTTAGTCAAGATTTAGAGCATCCACGCCCTTGCATTGGATGACCTTGAGTAGGTAGCTGGCACCACAGGCTCAGAAACTTTGCAAACCCTGATTCTCGTTTCCTGTATCTCTTTCGGGAAATCGGGATCTTCTCCGAGGCATTTTAGAGGAGTTGACTTCGATTAATATTACAGAAAGGGCCGTGCATGTGCGGGGAGATCTGCGAGGAAGTTGCCGTCTGAGAAATTTACCAGATCGGGTAAAACAGTCAGCACCGACTATTTCAAGTGTAAACGTGTATCCCGGGGTGTCTAGGCTAACCAAAACACGGCCCTATGTTGATGGTTGAATGCTTGATCGCGACATTCTACCAGGCATTACGCCGCGCATATCTGTCTCTTCGTCAACCATCTTACCTTGACCATCTCATGTTAGATACATTCATGTCCTCATATATTCCAAACTTCCCTCATCGACCCTTCCACACTCTACTACATTTTGGACAGTCGGCACTTCGAGCCAACATTATGACGTCGGAACTACAATCGTAGGCAGCAACTTGAATGCAGTCCAGAGGGATCATGTATCTTTACGAAGCTAGCGAATTATTAGAGTAGATTGGTCCTTATTCTTACAATGAGATGAGAGAATGCATACTTTGTAAATCATGAAAATAGTAATTCAATTTGTAACAAATAGCGGCGAATACAATTTCAAAATGAAAGTGAGTAGTGTGTTCAGTCTGGCCGATAACGAAATAAAACAGGAAAGCAATTCAATTTGTAACAAACAGAGGCAGAAACAACTTCAGAGCAAGAATCATCAGGGTTTAACAAAAATGATCATGTCAAGACAGTCCGCCAAGATTTGACAGGCCCTGCTGCTAACCACGACCAGCTGGGTGTGCTCCGACGGCTCAGGACTGCCTTTTCCTCTGGCAGAGCCCTTCTTCTCCTTGCTGACAGGTCCCTTAATAAAGTCGGCCCGCCCATGAACATCCGGAGGAGCGTTGTCGCCAATTTCCAGCTTAAGGCCAGTCCACTTGGCCACCCAAGCAGGCCACTCGTCGTCCATATTCGGCCCCCAAACAGTCGATCGCATGAGGGCAGGGTCCTTGAAAACCATAATGGCCCCGGAACCCTTTTTAATCTATTGCACGCTGTAATCGAGAGTATCAGCGGTATAAAATCCGGGTCCGAGTTCCTGATCATGATATGTTCCGTCCACTTGTGGAATAAAAAACGCAAGAGTGGACAACAGTGCATCCATGCTCAACGCACAGAACCAAAGGTTTCTTGACTCCAGGGTGCGTCCAGCTTATCGACGGATCTTCGTCTCAAGGCTCTTCATATTCTTTTCAGAATGAACCTTCATACACGGAATCTCGCCCGAATCCCTCTGCAGTCGATTTGCGTTCGTGGTATCCTTGAGGGGAAACGGGGTGGGACTGTCACTGACACCTTCTGGGCATCCATGTTGTAATCAGGAGCGAAGCGGCGTGGCGATCCATAAACCAGATCCCTGATCCAGGTAGGAACCAAACCCTGCTTTGCAAAACCACTTGACTGGCCACATCAAGGAGGCGCCATTGGGAATCACCTCAATACTATCTTCAATAACAGATGCGGGACTGTCGATGGCCTCAAAGAGTTCATCCAACCCAGCTAGCCAAGCTATACTGCGAAGGCGACCGATGACTCTTGCAGTTCTGCGTTCTATATCGTCGCCCAAGTGTTCTTTTATGTCCTCTGGCGTTATGGGGTGTGGGTATTTCTTTGCCCATACCGGGCGGAAACCGTGTGCCTCAAGATCTTCCGGTTTGCGAGAGTCATCAGCTTCAGAATCGGGGTCACTGGGGATATGGGATCAAACGATCTGGAATAAGACGCGTCATTTTGTCACGCTGAGAGGTAGGAGCAGGCGGACGCGAGGGGGTCATTCCCCGGATCACGGTCCGAGCCACGGGTGGCTTTCGAGAATGATGATGATATGATTGATAAATCGTAAGGTTGGTACAATGGCCGTTGCCTAGTAGGATGGTTGTAGGAAGCATTGGTACATGTTGAAGACGCTGCCTAGTTGTAGGAGAGATCCTGTTTCTTTCCTTCCTTGTTTTGTCTTTTCAAATGGGAAAGAGCACCACTCGCTACGACACAGAAATGAAAGAGGAAAGAGAAGACGGAGTGGATGGTGGGTGAATAGAAGACAACATTGAAATTGATTCAGTCCCCATGATGCGCTTCAATTTCACATGCCCCTCTCAGCTACCGCAGTATATACCCTTGTTCTTGATGATCGTGTCTCTTACAGGAGTCACCCTTCTTTTGTGGACAAAAAGAAAAGGGCAAAAAAAAAAAAAAAAAAAAAAAAAAAAAAAAAAAAAATTTGAAATAGGAAAAAAAAAAAATAATTTTTTAATAAAAAAGTTAGGGCGGGAAAAAGGGATAATGTACGGGGAATTTTGGTGGGGGTCGGAAACAGGGTGG